ATGATTCACACATGTAGACAAGCAGAAGCCACTACTGGTTCATTAAATTACTACTATGATCTGTTCTTTGCCCAGAATGCCTAAATTTCTACCTAAGCTCTGACACTAAACAGCAAAATAACAATGGGCTTGCAGTTTAGTCCCCTTTTGCTTTAGTTTTCCTTGTCAGTAAAAGAGAGGTAATAATAGTACCTTCTTCATAGACTGTGAGAATTAAAGGTTAATGGAAAGCACTTAGAAAGCACACGTAAAAGCAGCAAGAAAGTGTTACAATTCCTTACACTGGAGTACCACATACTCCCTCTTCCCTTGAAATTCTATAACATTACAGATGAAAAATTACAGTATGTGATTTCCCATTACTTAACTGGAGAGGAAATATTTTGCTCTACTTAATTTTGAGTAATGAAAAGGTGTAGTTTTGAATTCCGTACATAAAATGATGGTCTTCATATAAATAAGTGGGTAAATTATCTTCCTCTATTAAACTACTTACTACAAGGGACAAGGTTTCCAAATATCTTCCCTTTGGGATAAAGAATGCGTTTCTGAAAATAAGCTACCTGGAACCACATTAAACTCCTGAGGTAAGGAAATGTTTACTGTCCAAGATTTGCTTCTCTGTCATTGTACACAGAAACCCTCACACAACCTTCTGGGGTAACTTTGAAAAATAAAATAGCCGATCCTTGACCATCTTGAGGAGAACCAAGAGAACATGAGCTGTACAGAGTTCTGTCACTCTCTAAATGGTATTTTATCTCGTAGATTGACTGTATCCCAAATATGTTTTAGAAGATTTTCTGGGGGGAAAGGAGAACACTCACTAAACTGTGTTTAATTTCTTCCTTTATCTGTGCACAGGATAAACAATGGGGGGCTGGGTCAGTGGTTCTCACATTTTGTGCTTATTCATCACCTGAGGAACTTGATAAAATTCAGATTCCTGTCCCCATCCCCAGAGATTCTGATTAGTAATATGTGGTTTTAACATGTTTTGGGGTCATTCTGATGCCAGTGGCTCCCAGATAAAATTTTGCCAAACATGGCACTAACAAATAATGCTCAAAGATTTTAACATTTTACATTTGTGTTATGGCTTTTACATAAGAAAAAAAGACTTTCCAGACACCTCACCTCACATTTCCAACCACAGTCCCCAGATAAGTACAAAAGCTAATGACATTTATTTTTAACAAGAAAGAAAAAGCAAAGAGCTTTTTTTTTTTTTTTTTTTTGCTGAAGTATAGATTATATGATGAAACACCTCAGAAAACAGAGGTAAAAGATTCAATATACTCTTTAGAAGACAAGTAAAAAACAGATTTTGGAATTTCAAATTACTATAGTTAATATAATTTCACACTTCCTACTCCCAGAAGTTTAAGAAAAGAAACATAGTCACAGTATAATTTAAACACATGGATGAACTAATCCTTCTGTTCCCACAGCAAAATTATGGTCTAGGTTAAAACAATACACAGATGGGCAGAATGCTGATCTTTATCAACCACCAGCTGATAGGTAGAGTCTACCTACAGCTCAGAGTAAGCACTGCTTCCAGAAGAGTGGTCTGAGGAACACCTGGGCCGGAATCACATGGATAAAAATGCAGTCTTAATCCTGTCCCACAACCAGTGAAACAGCATTTCAGGGCTTCGGTCATAGGATTTTATGTTTTAACATGTTCCGCATGTAACGTGTCATAAGCATATCAAGTAAAGTTTGAGAATCAGTGGCGAAGGGAGGGGAGAAGGAGTTACTGGTAACAGAAAAGTGAAGATGGCGGAATAGCGCCCTTAACTATATTGGTAAATGCTACTCCTTGGACTACTTTTATTTGCAAATTAAGAGAACAATGCAATAAATACCATCACACACCTATTAGAATGGTTAAAACAACAACAACTGAGAACTATCGAATGCTAATGACAATGCAGAGCAGCATCACCGCTGTTGCTGGTGGGAAGGCAAAATGGTAACAAGTACTTTAAAACACAGATTGGTGGTTTCTTACAAAGCTAAACATGATCTTACCATACAATGCAGCAAGTGCACTCTGTGGTATTTACCCAAAGGAGGTGAAAACACATCTGCACAAAAACCTGCACATGGATGTTTACAGCAACATTATTCATAAATGCTCCAAACTAGAAGCAACCAAGATGCACTGTAATAAGTGAATGGAAAAATAAATTATGGCATATCCATAATAATGAATATTAGACGGTGGAAAAAAGGAACTATCAAACCATGAAAGACATGGAGGAACCTAAAATGCATATTGCTAAGTGAAAGAAGCCAGTTTGAAAAGGCTACATACCATATGATTCCAATTATACGATGTTTTGGAAAAGGCAAAACTATTCAGACAATAAACAATCAGTGCTTGTCAGAGGTTAGGAGGAGAGAAGGATGGATAGGTGAGCACAGATTTTTAGGACAGTGAAAATACTCTGTATGAAGCTGTAATGGTGGATACATGTCATTATGCATCTGTTAAAACCCACAGAACTATATACATCACAAAGAGTGAACCTTAATGAAAATATGGATTATAGTTAATAATGATGTATGAATATTGGTTCATTAAAGGTAACAAAGAGCAAACCCCAAAACTGTTTCCATCATTATGGAGGAGGACGTGATACTGACACACTGTATTCTTATCCTTGTGATTCTGGCCCCAGTGTTCCTCAGACTACTTTTCTAGAAAGAGTGCTTACACTGTGCTGTACGTAAACTGCTAATCAGCTTGTGGGTAATAAAGTTCAGCATTTTGCCAATTCTCTTCAATGAACTGTAAAGCAAGATGTTAATAGGAGAAACTGTATACATGTGTGGGGCAGGGAGTATATGAAATTCTGTGTATTATCTGGTCAACTATTCTGTAAACTTGTACTAAATGATAAAACCTATTAAATTTTTTTTTTTTTTTTGCGGTACGCGGGCCTCTCACTGCTGTGGCCTCTCCCGTTGCGGAGCACAGGCTCCGGATGCGCAGGCTCAGCGGCTATGGCTCACGGGCCCAGCCACTCCGCAGCATGTGGGATCTTCCTGGACCGGGACACGAACCCACGTCCCCTGCATCGGCAGGCGGACTCTCAACCACTGCGCCACCAGGGAAGCCCTATTAATTATTTTTTAAATAGTGAAAAAAAAATAAAACAAAGTCACAAGCCAGCAACTGCACAGCATCAGTTCACAGGGCTCTGAGGGAAAGGCTTCCGCACGCCACGTGTACTCTGTCATGCCCCGACAGCTGGCCGGAGAAAACGACACACGAGACTGACAAAAAAGGAAAGGGGAGTCCACGTAACACGCTATAAACACATTAGGTTGAACAGAGCTGCCTGCACGCCGACGCCGCATTTCCAGAGCGCGTCCCTTCAGCGGTCAGAGCGCCACAGCTCAGAGCTGGCCTCCATCCTGAGACGCAACAGCCCACATCTTTGCTCCCCTTCACCCTCTCTCCCGGGAGTGGTCAGCTCTAAATGGCCTTGGTTCCCGGAAGACCACACTGTCCAGGCTACCCCAAGGCCAAGCCCAGCCCCTCGTCTCCTGCTACTGTATCAGGAAGACAGGTTTCCTGCCTCTGTGCTTCCTCCTTCATGGCTCACTGACAAAGCGCAGTTTACACAGTCCATCTGTGTGACCAGGACAGGTCAAGCTGGCTAACTGGTCACATGGCTGCTTCACGTCTAGCCAGTCTACCCAGGTCATCTGGACATCCTCTCCTCTGAAGACATGCACAGGACGCTGCATTTCAAAGTCACCACCTCCAGAAACCCCTCCTAGATCTCCTAGGGAGTCCTGCTGGGCTCAGAACCTCCCACTCATCTGAGAGGCCCTGAGGAGGGGACCAGTACTGCCTGTCCTCCTCGTCCTGCCTCGGGGCATGGTGTCAGTGCCCAGAGGGCCTTCTGCCATGAATGAAACGAAGGCCCTGTACCAGCCTGTGAGTACCACTGGGCCCCTTCTCAGATGCTGCCTGAGGACAGTAGGGTGGGGAGAGGCACCCATGAAGCAGTCATTCCCAGGGCTCCTTCCTCCCAAGGCCCTCAAGCTCTCTGCAGTCATGGCCAACACCCCTACACTCTGCCTGCCCTTGGCCTAGGAGCCAGCCTGGCTCAAGCAGGGCCCTACTCTTTATCAAGTCTGTGAGAGAGAGTCCAGGAAAAGCCTTCAAGCCAGCCTGGCTCAATCAGGGCCCTACTCTTTATCAAGTCTGTGAGAGAGAGTCCAGGAAAGGCCTTCAAGCCAGCCCTAAGAGTGGCCCCACCCACCTAGCCATCTGGGACTATCTAAATAATATCTCCCCAAATTCTTATGCTGAAGCCTTTAACCCCAGCATCTCAGAGTGTGACTGTACTTGGAGACGGGAGAGAGGAGGACTGAATTGTGTGGGTTCTTCCCTTAAAGTATTCAGTTCCTTTTTTAAATGAATGCCTTTTTTAAAGGCATTTTTAGATGCTCTTCTAGTGATAGTTTTAAAAGATAAAAGGAAACTTTACCATCCTATGGAAATTAGTGCTAGTCAATCTAAAATATGCCTTTATCAGGTCTCAAATTAGTTAGGCATATAAGGAAAAAGAAAGAGCTTTAGATTCTGCTGTTATTCTGCAATTCATACATTGTTTACATTAACAGTTACAGTGCATTAAAAAAACATTGATCAAACTGACAATTCTAGAGAGAAAACATATGTGATTCATGATTTTAAGCCACTGTGAAAAGCAAGGCAGAGTCACAGTCCCGATAATCTAAAAGTGGTCACCAGGCATGTGATTCTGCTCACACTTTGGCTATACCACCATACAGCAAAGAAGAAGGAGATCAAAACAACCACAATAGTAACTAGAAAAGGAAACCCAAGTCTAATATCATCTACATTTTTTTTATCACTGCAGACAAAATTTCTGATGACAAAGTCCACTGCCAGCACATATGAAAGAAAAAACGATCTTTGAATTTTCCACACCAAATTCTTTGTTGCCTACCTGAAATCCATGCTTGCCTCTCCACCACGTGCTTAACACTTTTGGGGGCATGTCAATAACAGAAACAATGTCTCCCACCTAGGAGAAAAAATTTTAAGTGAAACGTTTTAAATCAATTTTTAAAGCAATTGTCTGTCTAGAATTTAAATCTTAACTGTAACAAAAGGGTAAAGTACTATCTTATTTTCTGGCTCATTATTTCTGGTAAAACATTAACACTTCTTTCTGTAAGGAATTTAATAATCTTAACCATTTGTTAAGGAGAGGTTTACAGAAAGTTAAGCAGCACAAAGACTGTGGTCCAACTAACACCTGTAGTAACTTCAGAACGCCTGATTGATAGCATAAGATGTCTGAACATCAGGCATCATACCATCATCACTTCTGTTAAAATGCTCTGTTAACTGCTGTTACTAAAGGTGATCAGATTCCCTTTAGTGAATCTAAAAGGCTATTTTAAATACTCATATTTAGCACAACAGCGGCTTCTATTAATACATTTAGTGAGCGCTTACCATGTGCCAGGCACTGTGCTAAACATTTGACATATCTTATTTCATCATATAGGAAAGCTCTAAGATGTCTACAGTTACTGGGTTATTCTTAGTACATGTAAAGCTGAATGACAACTACATTTCTTTTAATAGATGGTTCAATATAACATTCCCACTAAATAGCTGACTTTCTTCCCTTTAAAAGACAAACTCATGAGTTTGTACAAACTTCTACAAAATTGTAAGTATGAAAATAGCAATAATAGTTTTTAATAATATATTTAAAGGAAGTTGTATTCTTCAATCAAAATAACTGATGATCTCTGTGATAAACCAGTTAAGCACTTCAGACCAATGTTGCTAATGTACACAATATTGCTTTAAGAATTTTTTTTGTATATTCACAACTAGTTTTTCCAGTCATGAAAGTCCTCTTCACAAAACCATACTTGCTAACAGACATGGTATCTTTCAAGACCAAGGATTCCTTTGTGTATAGAGCTAAAAATTTAGTTTGAGAACAGTTTGAATTCTATACAGTAAAAATTTACAATTTTTTTCCTCTTAAACTGAGTAACTGCCAGCATTTTCCTTGGTCTCTCATCAGCCAATATTAAAGGAAGAAACTCAATTCCCCTCCTTTTGCATCTGATAGCAAGAAATGTTCATTTCACTTTTCATCTGGTCTTTACCTCAATCTATGAACAGTGAGAAGAAAGTATCACTGGGTATTGTTTTTAGGTGCTAAAAACACAAAGACAGAAGAGGATTTGGCTTTCAAGAAGCTCACAGAGACAAACAGGAGAACAATTATGATTGAATGTAGTAAGTGACATATCAGAGATAAGCCTTGAGAACAGCTCAGAATGACGTTCAGTGCAGGTTCTGGGGGGGTATGTATTTCCATGGAGTAGAGGGAAGGAGATCAAGGAGACTTCCTAGAAGAAATGGGACACATTTAAGCTGAAATTTCAAGAATGAGTACAGTCATTAAAATAAAAATAGATGGCATGCCAGGCTGAAAGACAATGATGCACAGAAAAACCTGGTGCTTTTCATTAAGGAAATGATTGCAACAGTTAAAACTGAGGCTAGAAAGATAGCAGGGACTGAGCTAACACATAGCATCTTTAGTCACTTACCTCTAAGGTCAATTCATCCGGGGCCCGAGCAGTGTACCTCTTGATAACATGGGCAGCACCAACAGCAGGAGTGTTAATGGATGATTCTTCATGAACTAGAAGGTGATTTCCCTTATTATCAATCTGTAACAAAGAAAATGTACTATGAGATGGTTAAAGACATGGGACTTGGAAGTTTCTTTGTGTATCTATATAATTCAACTTGACTTAGAAAAACCATAACCCAAAGAATATTAAAAAAAAAAAAAACCCACCACTTATCGAGTACTTACTATATGCCAATCATTGTATTGTACATATAACATACATACTTTAATCTTCATAACTCTAAAAGATACTTATCATCATTATCAACACTTAAAGATGAAGATGCTAAAGTTAAAAGAAGCTATATAAATTATGAGAGATTAAATATTTTGTCCCAGATCACACAGCCAATAATGAAGAACCAAGATCTCAGGGCAAGTTGGCCTGGCTCTAAGGTCTATATTCTTTCTACTTTTCATTGCCTTCCCAATTTCCACTGAGAGGAGAGAATAATGTAACTCTACATATGCAAATTAAGGAGAAAAACCTAACCTATTGACAGGAGGATACTCTATCACTCAAGACATTCTTAAATCAGACTCTTTAAAAGGTTGTCTCTTGTTCATCAATGACTAAAAACTATTTTCAGTTACTAAGCCAATTAAATATATATATACATATATATACACATACATCTTGCTAAATGTATATACATTAATACTTTAAATACAAAAATAACAGGTGTCATTGTGATTCATAAAATAATATTAAAATTAGCTTCCTGGATTATCAAAGAAAGATTTGAGATGAAAAATATTTAATGTATCACATATCTATCTTGCAGAAGAGAATAAGCACCATTTATTCAATTCCTGAAACTCAACAGCTATGAAAATTAATATTAAATTTCTTAAGTAGATAATTTTAAAATTAACTTTAATAAAAGATGAACTGGATTAATACCTCCATCCAAGTAAGGGCAGGTCCACAATTGATCTTGTTGCCAGCAATAGCTGAAAGGCGGGACAGGTAAGCCATAAGCATCTGAGTGACTGACTAAAGAAAAAGAGAAAATTCAGTGGTAACAGAATAAAGATACTCCACTCTCTGTCAAAGAAACTGGTGTTAAGTTGGGTGTTTCTGGGAGAAAAAAATCTGCAGATTTTTATGCATTTTCATAGTTATGGAGGTTCTTTATAGAGGCTTAACAGTTCCATGAACTGACACTACAGGCACTTACGTAACTTCCTGTCTGGTGCAGAACTTTCACTGCCCTCATCATCAGGGCTTATACTGCCGTACAGCTTCTAATTTGGTTGCCTTCTCTTTCTATTTTTGTATTGAAAATGTAAAACGATAGCAGAGACATACTTGCTTTTCCACCTGGCTTCCCCCTGCTACTGTGAAATGCTTTCTTCAAGGTCTGCTGCAGTCTTCACACACCCAGCCATGCAGGACAGTTCATACGTGATCCTACACCACGAAGTCAACTGATGGGTCCAGGAATGGGACCCAACATTAGCTGACCTAACAGGAGCTGCTGCAGGAATTAGGAACCGTGACACAAAATTTCAGCTCAGTCTGGCTGCTGTCTTAAAAAGAAGTGAGAACCTGGCCCCTGTTGGGAGTGGTCATGTTGTGAGACAGTCTGAGAAAGAAATACACAACAGACAAGGCAGACAGGGAAAAGGAGGCAGAGAGACGTCCAGGCTTTCTATAGGACGAAAGAATCTGCAGTTTTAGGACATTCCTGAGACCTTGTCACGGTGTCAGTTCTTGCATGACTGAAGTCTCCACTTTGCCCTCACTACATAATCGCCTGGGAATTAACTATAGATTTGAAATGGCTTCCCTTCAGGACTTCCACTGTTTTCAAGCATCCACTGTGGCTGCCAAGGAGTCTAACGCCAATACGTTTCTTGTTCCTTTGAGAAAAACCTTGTTTTTGCTCTCCGGAAGCCATTTGGGCTTCCTCTCTGTTTTGGCATTTTGAAATTTTACCACAATGTTTCTAGATGTGTGTCTTTTCACTTATTATATTTAGCACTTAATGGGCCCATTTAATCTGAAAACGGGCCTGTTTTTAATTTAGGGGAATTTATTATGTTTTTAGTTACTGCCACCCACTCTCTCCTCCTATAACTCCTACAAGAGGAACAGGAACTTGTAGGAACTTCTGGATCTATTCTCTGTGATTCCCAACAATTCTCTCATAACTTTCTCTCCCTTTTGGGGCTGTGTTCTTACAAAGCTTGCTCTTCCTGCTCACTAATTCTCTCTTCATCTATGTCCATTTTGCATGTAGTCCAGCTGTTTGTTATTATTAAAATTAATTTTAAAAACCACATGTTCATTTCTAAGGTCTCTGATTATTTTATTTTTTAAAACTCTGTTCTCATTCCATGAATGTGACTGCCTCACTTTCTCTCTGAGGGTGGTAATCATGCTTCTGAAAGCCCTCTGGTTTGCTCTTCTGTTACTTTGTTTATTCGGTTTTCACACTGAAGATTTCTAGTTTATCTGTCCCTCTGCAGTCCTCCTGTACAAGTTTCTTATGCTGTATTTTCTTGCCCCCATAAATCTTATCCCATCTACTTTCAAAGATTCCTCACAATTTTTGATTCCCTGATGGTTCTTTTTATTTTCTGATGTTATAAAAGAATCTCTTTCCTCTTAAATTAAAAAAAAATCTCTTATATTTTTACTGGAAATTTTTGGCAGGAGTGGAAATAAGTGCATGGACACAGCCTGCCATCATAAACTGAGTAAACAGCATCATTTGAATACACATTTCTTTGATTATTAGTGAGGTCAACACTTTTCCATACTTTTGCTTTTATATTTTGCATTCTCTCTGAAAAATGATCTGCTCATATATATTTCCCATTTATATATTAAGATATGAGATTCTTCTTATAAAATTATACACTGAACCTATTTCAATTCAAAATATCCGAACAGCATTACTAATTTTTCAGTTAAGAAATAATTAAGTAATCCCACGAATCTTCCTGAGTGCTCAATGTAACCTTTTATTTAGTATACTGGCAAAAAAAATTCTGCTAATTTATAGCGATTACTTCTGCAAAGTACTGAATGCTTACCTCTAGACTGTCCTTCAGGGCATCAGAACGGGGAAGCTCTGAGAGCTGGGAGAATCGTCGGTCATAAATACACAGATGAAGATGTTTATCAAGTACCCGAAAATCTTCATAACTTCTTTTAATGATCCAACTTTTGCCCTATGAGTAAGAAAAAGAAAGACTCCTATAATTTGTCTCTATTTGGAATGGTCAGGAACCAGGATTTGTTCCACAACGATGTTATTCATGAGATTTTATATTTACTAATTAACTTGACAATAAATAAACTGCAGAACCTTATAGTGCGTTTTATTACATTAAAATGTCAGTAATGGAAAATAAACTAGAACTGTCCACTAAACCTCTTCCTACCACTAATCAAGCCCACTGGCTCTCCCTGGGAATAATAACTGGTAGATAGGAAGATAGCATGTGACCTTAAACCCACAGAAAGAACCATAAAATGATTTTGTATGGGAGAATATTACCAGAAATTAAAGAAAAATAAAACCAGGTCCCTGATCAGTTACCATGAACATTTCTGTGACTGAAACTGGAAATACACTGAAAATTAATTTTCTTAAATTTCATCTAGAATTTGGTGTGCATATATTATCTAGAACCCACTATATCTCCCCACTTCTCAGTTTTTCTTCCTTTCCTTGCCTAAACTCACAAGCTCATTAGAAATGGAAATCTGCTCACAGAACATATTTATTACACACTGTCTTCTAAGTTTCTCTTGAATCTATCACTTTGTAGCCCAAACTTTATTAAGGACTGACATCATTTCTGACCTCCCTGCTTTTGATCTTCTCTGCCACTGCCCTCCCCCAACACAAAATACAAAGCTTGTCAGGTCACACTGACAAAAGGCCTTCAAAAGCTCCTGTGGGCAGTAATGATGAGCTGGTCCCCACTACACACCATTTGGTTTGACAATTCAGTCCACTTTTATATGGAAGCTTTCATCTCATAGCAATCTGGAGGGACTGGGAGACAAAGCAGCCATCTCAGAATTGAAGAAAACATCTCTACTGTAGCTCTTTTCCATTTGCCTCCGCCAGATGGGGCAGAAGCAGAAGGTACCATTTCATGGGAGAGGTGCTGAATTCTAAACACAGGTATGTCCATAACTAACAGGATAAACTTGTCTAGTCCTACTTTGGACTACAATTCTCCATTACACAGATGGAAAGCAATACCACCTCCCTCTTTCAGAGGGCTGTTAGAATGAAATAAGAGAACAGATGTGTCAGATATTTTTAAAGAACAGTCTCCTGGTTCCTATTCTAAGAAACGCTAGTTCAATAAATCTGGAATGAGATCCAGTTAATCTGATGATCAGCCTGAGTTGGGAACCACTGATCCACAAGATTAAGTCCAAACATACTTGCACATATCAGGGCTTGCATCATCTGGGCCTCTCTAAATTTATAGTGTGATCCCACTCACTACTCCTCCATGCCGTTTCTTTGCTTCCAGTTATGCTCAATCACTTGCATTTCTTCCATGTGTGAAATGTTCCCTTTCTTGCCTACATGATTTTTAAGTGCTGTTCTTCTACTATGGAAAGTTGTTCTTTTACTCTTAGCTCAAGTAAGCTCCTTTGTTTTTTCAGTTCTACCACTGCCTTCTACCCAAAGCATTCCTGAGTGACAACAGGTGGTTAAATACTTGTTCCTTTGGAATGCCAAAAATAAAAATGAACAACAAAGCAGAAAAAAAGAAAAACAACTTATCGCATAGTTGCAAATATTTTTCTTTCACACATACACATTTCAGAAATTATGCAACACTTCAAATATCAGAAAATTACAAAAATTAATTTAACATATGTATATCTCCATCACAGAGATTAAACGGATGTCGACTTTTTATTTCAAAGCTCTGGATTTTTTAAATTGAAATATAGTTGACTTACAGTATTATGTTAGTTTCAGGTGTACAGCAAAATGATTCAGTTATATTATTTTTCAAATTATTTTCCATTATAGGTTATTACCAGATATTGAATATAGTCCCCTGTGCTATACAGTAAATGCTTGTTGCTTATCTATATTATGTATAGTAGTTTCTATCTGTTAATCTCATACTTCTAATTTATCCCTCTCCCCCTCCCTTTCCCCTTTGGTAACTATAAATTTGTTTTTCATGTCTGTGAGTCTGTTTCTGCTTTGTATATAAATTCATCTGTATTGTTTTTTAGATTCCACATATAAGTGATATCATACTTTCTCCATCTAACTTACTTCACCTAGTTTATTCTCTAGGTCCATCCATGTTACTGCAAATGGCAATATTTCATTATTTTTTATGGCTAAGCAATATTCCATTGCATAAATATACCACATCTTCTTTATCCATTCATCTGTTGATGGACACTTAGGTTGCTTCCATGTCTTGGCTATTGTAAATAGTGCTGCTATGAACATTGGGGTGCATGTATCTTTTCGAATTAATGTTTTCTCCGGGTATATGCCCAGTAGTGGGATTGCTGGGTCATATGGTAATTCTATTTTTAGTTTTTTAAGGAACCTCCATAGTGTTCTCCATAGTGGCTGTATCAATTTACATTCCCACCAACAGCGCAAGAGGGTTCCCTTTTCTCCACACCCTCTCCAGCATTTATTATTTGTAGACTTTTTGATGATGGCCATTCTGACCATAGTGAGGGGATACCTTTTTAAAAAAAATTTTAATATTAATTTTCTTATTGGGGTATAATTGTTTTACAATGTTGTGTTAGTTTCTACTGTATAGCTAAGTAGAGTCCCTGTGCTATACAGCAGGTTCTTATTAGTTATCTGTTTTATACATATTAGTGTATACGTGTCAATCCTAATCTCCCAATTCATCCCACCCCACTCCCCGCTTCTCCCCTTGGTGTCCATACGTTTGTTCTCTAGGTCTGTGTCTCTATTTCTGCCTTGCAAACAGGTTCAACTGTACCATTTTTCTGGATTCCACATATGTGTGTTAATATACAATATTTGTTTTTCTCTTTGACTTACTTCACTCTGTATGACAGTCTCTAGGTCCATCCACGTCTCTACAAATGACCCAACTTCGTTCCTTTTTATGGCTGAGTAATATTCCATTGTATATATGTACCACATCTTCTTTATCCATTCATCTGTCGATGGGCATTTAGGTTGCTTCCATGACCTGGCTATTGTAAATAGTGCTGCAGTGAACATTGGGGTGCATGTGTCTTTTTGAATTATGGCTTTCTCTGGGTATATGCCCAGTAGTGGGATTGCTGGATCATATGATAGTTCTATTTTTAGTTTTTTAAGGAACCTCCATAATGTCCTCCATAGTGGCTGTATCAATTTACATTCCCACCAACAGTGCAAGAGGGTTCCCTTTCCTCCACATCCTCTCCAGCATTTGTTTGTAAATTTTCTGATGATGCCCATTCTAATTGGTGTGAGGTGACACCTTACTATAGTTTTGATTTGCATTTCTCTAATAATTAGTGATTTTGAGCATCTTTTCATATGCCTGTTGACCACCTCTATGTCTTCTTTGGAGAAATGTCTACTTAGGTCTTCTGTCCATTTTTTGATTGGGTTGTTTTTTTTTTGATATGGAGCTGTATGAGCTATTTATATATTTTGGGTATTAACCCCTTGTTGGTCACATCGTTTGCAACTATTTCCCCCATTCCATAGGTTGTCTTTTCATTTTGTTGATGGCTTCCTTGCTGTGCAAAAGCCTTTAAGTTTGATTAGGTCCCATTTGTTTAATTTTGCTTTTATTTCTTTTGCCTTGGGAGATGGTCCTAAGAAAATACTGTTTTATGATTTATGTCAGAGAATATTTTTCCTATGTTCTCTTCTAGGAGTTTCATGGTGTCATGTCTTATACTTAGGTCTTTAAACCGTTTTGAGTTTATTTTTGTGTATGGTGTGAGGCAGTGTTCTAACTTCACTGATTTACATGAGGCTGTCTAGCTTTCCCAACACCACTTGCTAAAGAGACTGAAGAGACCTCTGCCCATTTTTTAATCAGAGTGTTTTCTGCTATTGAGTTGTAGGGGTTCCTTGTATATACTGGATATTAACCCCTTATCAGATACGTGGTTTGCAAATATTTTTTCCCATTCCACAGGTTATCTTTTTACTTTCTTGATGCTTTCCTTTGCAGTTCAGACCTTTTAGTTTTTTTGTAGTTCCACTTGTTTATAAACATTTGCTTTTGGAATCAGATTTTAAAAAATCATCACCAAGACTGATGTTAAGGGGAATACTACCCATGTTTTCTTCTAGGAGTTTTATGCCTTCAGGTCTTACATCTAAGCCTTTAAACCATTTTGAGTTAATTTTTGTGTATGGTACAAGTCTATTTTCATTCTTTTGCATGTGGTGGTCCAGTTTTCCCAGCACCATTTATTCAAGAAACTGTGCTTTCCCCATTGTATATTCTTGGTTCCTTTCCTGTAAACTAAGTGACCATATATGTGTGGGTTTATTTCTGGGCTCTCTATTCTACTCCATTGATTATTTTTCCGTTTTTATGCCAATACCATACTGTTTTGATCACTATAACTTTGTAATATAGTTTGAAATCAGGGCACATGATACCTCCAGTTTTGTTCTTCTTTCTCAAGATTGCTTTGAATATTTGGGGTCTTTTGTGGTTCCAAACAAATTTTAGGGCTGTTTCTTCTATTTCTGTGAAAGACACTATTGGAATGTTGGTAGGGATTGCACTGAATCTGTACATTGCTTTGGGGAGTATGCACATTTTAACAATATCAATTATTTCAATCCACGAGCAAAGAATTATCTTTCCATTTATTTGTGTCATCTTCCATTTCTTTCAGCAGTGCCTTACAGTTTTCAGTGTACACATCTTTCACCTCCTTGGTTAAATTTATTCCTAGGTATTTTATCATTTTTGATGCAACTGTGGGATTGTTTTCTTAATTTCTCTTTCTGATAATCTGTTATTATAGTTTATAGAAATGGAACTGACTTTTGGTAAGAAGCTTGAAGCTTTCCAACTAAGATCAGGAACAAGGCAAGGATATCTTCTCTCATCACTGATTTAAAACACTGTGCTGGAATTCCTAGCTAATGCAGTAAGACAGGAAAAGGAAATCAAAGATATATAGATTGGTAAGGAAGAAATAAAACTGCGTTTGTACACAG